GATCTAAGTCAGGGCACGGCTAACTCACAGATAGAAAACCCTGAAACAACCTCTGAGCTGATCTAAGTCAGGGCACGGCTAACTCACAGATAGAACCCTGAAACAACCTCTGGGCTGATCTAAGTCAGGGCATGGCTAACTCACAGATCAAACCCTGAAACACTGAACAACTCGGCTGATCTAAGTTATGGCACGGCTAACTCACAGATAGAACCCTGAAACAACCTCTCGGCTGATCTAAGTCAGGGCATGGCTAACTCACACAGTTAGAACCTTGAAACAACCTCTGGGCTGATCTAAGTCAGGGCATGGCTAACTCACAGATCAAACTCTGAAACACTGAACAACTCGGCTGATCTAAGTTATGGCACGGCCAACTCATAGATCAAATTGGAATTTAGCATGTTAGGTTTACATAGCGGGGCAAAAAACAAAAACAAAAACAAAAACAAAAAAAACAAAAACAAAAAACAAAAAAAAACAAAACAAAACAAAACAAAAAAAGAATCAAAAAACGAACAATCCGGGGGAACAACCTAGAATCAATAGAGAGAGATGCCTAACAAACTCTTCTCACATGCATGTGATGCAGTGGCTAGGAATGCAACCCGATTGAGATTCCAGAAGCGAGAGGCGAGTGTACTTGCTATTGCTGCGTCGTCGGCCTTCTTTTCAGTCCTTACATTGGAGCAGTTTAATATATACGGTCTCCTTTTCCATCTTTACGTTTCTAGCAGAATTCCAGAAATCCTGATTAGTCTTTAGATAATATGTATATGGATGTGTTAACTTTTCATCTAATAATAATTATTATAATAATGACAATAATAACAATAAAAGTGTCCTGTTTCGGATATAGGATAAAATAAGAAAACCTTTCACATCTCGCATCTCGCATCTCGCATCTCGCATCTCGCATCTCGCATCTCGCATCTCGCATCCCGTAAATCGCAACCGTCCTATGAAGTATGCTGACGATAATACTTCATACTTCGTGTGTCAGCAGTTCAAGGATCTCGCATCTCGCATCTCGCATCTCGCATCTCGCATCTCGCATCTCGCATCTCTCATCCCGTAAATCGCAACCGTCCTATGAAGTATGCTGACGATAATACTTCATACTTCGTGTGTCAGCAGTTCAAGGATTCTATACATTCCCCACCCCCCTCCCCCACAAATGCACGTGATCTCATATCCTTTATGAACTTGCCGTCCCCATACGAAACCGAGTTCGGAAATCAAGGTGGGCCCACGTCACCCATATTACACGACTAAATCAGTGCAAATATAGAGTCGTAATTTACATCGTAAAAAAACTATTTTTGCTTTGATATTTTCAGATCGCCGGTATAACGGTGATGGCCGTAGGGATCTGGACACGAGTAAGTGCTCATGAGTACGCGTCATTAATGGAAGAGAGTGGTTTCCAGGCCGCCGCCAACATCATGATAGCTGCTGGTGCACTGGTCATCTTCATTGGTTTTGTTGGATGCTGTGGTGCTGTCAAGGAAAACAAATGTTTCTTGTTGTTGGTAAGAATCGATCACCCCATTTCCATATTACCCAATCAACTCTGCCCAAGACGTCTTGCATTTGGTCTATCAAAAAAATAGTAACTCAGACCAATAGAAAGTTAATCGACGAAACCGAAAACCCACACGTCTCGAGATGTCTAAGGGAAGAGGCTCTAGATCTTATGAAAGATATGAAGTGAGCACAGACCTGGGTACTGAGAATGACATTTGAAAGTCATTCGAATTCCTGAAGATTCATTTTCATGATTCACTTTAAATGATTCTTGAAGTTCACAAGAAGACTAGACGGAGGTGGGGTTGATTGACACCTGTCACTCATAAGTATATACCGGAAATGACATAGTGATTGTTCTTCCAATTTAAAAGAAAGTATTAAAATTAAGATGGGAATAAACTATTCGTCGTGTTTTCCCATTTCAAACTACGTATTATTCTCTAGAGTATCATTTCTTATCCTAGCGGTTGGATATGTGAAGACATAGAGGCCAGGATGTCCGGATAGGGACAATTTGTGCGTGAGGTCCCTCCCTCCCACTTTTCTTGCTGTTTAACAGTCCGTTATCGCAGGTGCAAGCGCATGGATGACGTAGCCTTACGTCAGGATACCAGACCAGTGATAGAAAATAGCGCTCACTAATTCAGCCAATCAAAACGCACTATTTTTTGAAATACTGGACCCGATCAATAAACATGAATATGGATTCAAGCGAAACAAAGAACCTTATTCTCAAGGGTATGACACGTGGTCTGAAATGAGAAAGGCATTGCAACACGAAGAATAAGATCTTTTTTTCTAGAGCCTTTTGGCAAGATACGACAATAAGAGTTGCGATAGTGTAAAAAGTCATCAAATTCAAACCAGTTTGACCTTTGCTGGTTACTTTGTAGTGGGGACAGAATTTTGTCTCTGCAACCAGATCTTTTATGAAATTGGAAAACGTCCCACTGGGAGGGATGCATGTAGTCTAGATTGTAAAGAAATCATGGCCCTTGGGAAGGTGCACACTTTATAAAATGTACTAAATATTCTGGGTATTAGTGCATGGGTGTTTATAGGGCACCACCATCAGCACCATCATACAAAGTGATAAAATACTACAACAGCTAAAACTACGACATTAAGATAGAAGCCACCAATTCATTTACGTCCCTTTATTTTTCAGTATTTCTTTTTATTGTTGGTCATTTTTATCCTGGAAATTGCAGCTGGAATTATGGCCTACACCAAACGCGACAAGGTAAATAGTCTTCAGCAGTTTTTATCGTGAATCGAAGAGATGTATTTCACTGTGTGTTGAACCAAAATATTCTAAATATCATCAAGATTGAGAAGAACACTCAATGGTTTTCCCCTTAGGTTATCAGCACAATAGAAAAAGCAATGAACCAATCCGTCCAAAACGACTACGGACAAAACAAACCAAAAATCGACAAGGCTGTTGATCACGCACAAGAAATGGTGAGTCGTTAGTTTCTTTAATTATATATGTTTAACTCCTGCTTCAAAGAAAAACGTGAATTGTTTGCTTCAAAAGCTTAGATATAAAATGACAAACTATAAGAGTCTAAGTACTAACTACCAGCAGAATAATAAATATATGTTAAAAATTCGTTTGAGGAAAACATTACGCCCAAAGTAAAGGGTGTGAGTGATTAAAACACTCGTTCAGTACGTGTTGATATCCAGTCATACTCTCGTACGTTCTGATTGTGGATTTAATTGTTCAACAGTTGAAATGCTGTGGAGCCACAGGACCTAAAGACTGGAAAACCTCAAATTGGAAGAAGTCCCATCAGAATGAAACAGTCCCTCAGTCCTGCTGTAAGAACAAGAAGGCACCATGTGATTACTACGATAAGGTACCGATATTTCACTATACAACTGCATTCCTTCTCTCTCTCTCTCTCTCTCTCTCTCTCTCTCTCTCTCCCTCAACCCGCCAACCATTTGGAAAGTATTTGATTACAGTATTTTTCCCCATTTTCGCTATAGCCATATTGCTTTTTTCATTAGGCAACAGATGAGATTGTACATTTCTCAGTGGAATCGATGTTAGGATTTGACTGAATGTACCAATTAAACTTTTCCATTTTGTTGTGAGAAGGTATTTCGCTGACTTTCATCGAATAAAATCTGATGACATTTTGCTCCTCAGTACTTTTGAGAGACCTTTCCAATGTTTTTTATTGTGCATATTATTTAAACGCTCGCCCAATCTTTTCCCGTGTTTATCTGACAAATGTATCACGTGACAAGTGTATCATCTGACAAGTGTGTCATGTGACATGTGTGTCATGTGATAAGTGTGTCATGTGACAAGTGTGTCATGTGACAAGTGTTTCATGTGACAAGTGTATCATCTGACAAGTGTGTCATGTGACAAGTGTATCATCTGACAAGTGTGTCATGTGACAAGTGTGTCATGTGACAAGTGTGTCATGTGACAAGTGTGTCATGTGACAAGTGTGTCATGTGACAAGTGTGTCATGTGATAAGTGTGTCATGTGATACGTGTGTCATGTGACAAGTGTGTCATGTGACAAGTGTATCATCTGACAAGTGTATCATGTGACAAGAGTGTCATGTGACAAGTGTGTAATTTTTTCTTGTTTATTTCCAGGGATGTTCTAAAGCACTACAGGATTTCATCAAAGGTCACATGAAAACTCTTGGAGGCATCGGCGTCGGCATTGCAATTATTCAGGTACTTGGTTTTGCAAAAGAAGGCACGACTTAGGAAACGTTGCCATGGTCACAAGCAACAAGTTATGACTGCAGATGACGTCAGTTCCTCTTCATAATCATTCTCTCAAAATAACCTTCAAATTTTATCGGTTCCATGAAGCAGGCTCTGGGATGATCTGATTCAGGGCATAGCTAGCTCACAGATCGAATTCTAATTCATGCAGTTTGTTAGGCTTTGCGGAGCTGAGGGAGGAAACCTAACCCTCGAAGGGAGAGACCTAACATACCGGTACTATACTCACTAGGGATGTCGAGAGTGTAATCGAACCCGAGACCCCCCCAGAAGGGTGGGAGGAGAGTGAGTACCGCTACGTCATCCTTGATTCCCGATGCAGTCATTACATTGCTTAGGATTGTAAACATGATTTCTTTGTCATTCTAAGACATTTCCTAACCACCAACTTTGTATATGCTTTATGAGGGTCATCGCGCGCGCTTTACTAGGGATATTCTTTGCGGTCTTAGCATGTTGCACGTTACCTTAACTGGCATACTTATGATATGTGCTATATTAAAGTCCCTCCAGCACTGATGAAGGGAGGAAGGGGGCCTGAGAGCTAGGCAATCAGCTTCTATCTTTTCCATTTTTTGATAGCATACAAAATTCCTCAATATTAGAAAAATACACCTCTTTATCTTGGGCGTAATGATTCTCGGATTTCAGACCACGAGTCATTCCCCTCAGTATCATTTCTTTGTTTAACTCAAACAATTGCAAAGAATCTTTTTCTCAAGAGAATCTAAAAAATATATCTAAAAAAAGGTATATAAAGGCACAGTTTGCATCATCACGTGATGACAGCCATGACAGCCATGACAGGAGGTACAAGAATAGAGTATTTATCCCCTGGGAAACTGGATTCTTTCTCATGTACTTCAGATTAGATTTAATTCAATCTCCCTTCCTCGTGTCATGGCTGCCACCAAGTTATGGTGCAAAAATCTTCATTCTATTTTGTTCCTTAATTGGTGGTCACGAAAAGCTTTGCTGGACTCTTATGCATTTGGCGGGAACTAATGTATTGATCAAAACGCGCGCGCTCGTTCCCAAGCTCCACTCAATACTTTGGCCACGCTAACGTTTCATTTTCTACTCCGATGAAGGACTAACGTCCGAAACGTCAGTTTCATTTTTACATACCATACGGTGTTACAAATTATCTATCTATCTAACGTTTCATTTGTTTATTGACATAGTATTTGTTCTTTTTTCAGATCCTTGGAATGGTCTTCTCACTGTGTCTGTTCCGCTCAATTGGTTATGAGAAGATATAAACATCCCACGTGACTAACATAGGTGTATTTATTATCATTTTAACTTGTTTATTTCCTTGTCTACACTAAAACGAGGCTATAGGGGTAAATTGTATGCAACGATCTTGACATAGCAGCACAAGCATTGTATATTTTATTTGCAGCCTACGGTATGTATAGATAAAGTAGTATTGGAGTTAGCAATCAAAGCACAATTTCTTGAACCTTTGGGTAAGGGTAACACTGATTTGTGATTGTGAATAGCCCCCATTAGCCTCGTCTTCGTGTATTTAGTAATGTGCAAGAGATAGGTAATGATATAATGAAATAAATGACAGCATATTTCAGAGGGAGGGGAGAGATGGGCAGAAGAAGAACAAAGTCCCTTTTTTCTTCTTTACTGCTTTATGGTGTTGGGAAGGAGTGGTCCTGGGTCGAGTAAGGTGGGATGTGTTTAGCTTTGTTCAAATATAATTCTACACAATAACCTTGGGGTCTTTTCTCAGGGGGATCAGGGGTCGGCAGTTCATTCCAGAGAAAAATGTCAACTTTTTACGGTTGCTAGTGCTGCTATTTCCTACTTTATCGATGTTTGTGAAGTATTTTCGGGTCAAACAGCTCACAAAAAAGGCTAAAATCGAATAGAAAGATGTTCTCATTTACGACTTTGGACAACAAATCGTGTTCCGAAGAAATATCCTTTTAAACGTTTTTGGAACTGCTTTTGTTTTGGACCCGGAAGTCGTTTTTCCATACGATTGAAGAACGATTCTGAGCAGAAAAGAGGTGCCTTAATGACGTCAACCAGCGATTCTCCACTAGATCTCCCTGATCGAGTATAGCACACCTTATCTGTCCAGAATAAGAAACTCTGTGAAAACTGAGAAAAGACCTCTGGGCCATAGTAGGAGAATTATTAGATTTATTAGTGTATTAAATGATATGCGGCTCACTAGAGAGATTAAACATTGTGTCCTAACAGTTTCTTTTCCCCATACGACAGTCACGTGATCATTGACATCTTAATGCTGTTTCCATCCTTTGGGAACATGTTCTCGTGTTTATTCATATATACTACACATATATGTCTTTTTTGGTCCATTTTTGCTAATGCCAACACGTGCACATTTCAAGCAAGTCAACCGTTGCTTTACGTTGGCCCAAGATGCTTGACCTCTCTAGTGGTTCCATCTATATAACATTTGTCAAGGTCATATAAAGCATATTTAATTTAGTTAATATCAGACTTACTATGGAAATCACTAGGTTGGTAATAAAGCGTACGTTAAAAAATTTCTCTCGCTGAGGTGTTGTTGGTTTTTTTGTTTTTTGTTTTTTGTTTTTTTGTTTTTTTTGACCACTTGTTCTTGGTCAATCATGTCGTTCCAAAACGATCGCCTAGTACAGAAAAATCAATCGCATGTTGCAGATTTGTGTGCTCTGTTTTACCACTCTAATGATTTCTACTGATTACGTAATCAAAATTCTTCTGATGTGGCTACAAACTCGTTTCCAGTACAGCATCGAGTTTGATCACCGGAAGACTTCTTGTGAACCTACAAGTTGATTTGACATCATAGGTCTCTAGATAGCTATTAACTCGTGACGTATTTCCGGGTTCAACTGCTCAAGAAACCGCTAAAATATTTAAAGCGAAAAATGTTTTCAATGATTTAACCAGCACCAGAGATAATTACGGAACAAATCCTGTCATGAAGAAAACAATCAATAAAATCTTTATGGAACTGGTTTTGGTTTTGGACCCGGAAGCCCATGCGAGTGACGTCATACTTAAAAGCTCTATAACGCTCTTCATTTAGCGACATAATCATGTGATCGAGAATCAAACACGCATTCCTAGATATAATCATTAGGGTTTAATGTTACAGGGTTAATTTTTAATATGGCTAGTTTAGTCAATTGATTCCACACCAAATTCAAAAACCGTCGGATTCAAATGGTAAAATTATCCAAGCTAAGACCGAGGGGTATTCTGGGTAGGTAATATCCTGGGCATTTGGCTAGTGTTTGCATACAGACACATGCATAAAGATTTGACAAAATGCTTTGTTCGGTAACTTGAATCAATGTTCGAGAGCTACAAAACTGTAATATGCATAATATAAGCCTCAGTAACTGTTTACCCAGAGCACCATTAGGTCTTAGGTTTTATTATTAACCACTTTGAACCCGACAACGATTTTGAATTTGGTGTATTTTAATTTTTAGTGATAGAATAAAGATAAAAGGCTTCTGTATAGTCATCTACGCTAGACAATGATTTAATCACTGAAAAAAACAATCAGGGATATCACATGTAGTTGAATTAGTAGAGGATTTGTCACTCTTTCTGTGCCCTCTGTATATTCCTAGACCCCTTCAACACACCCAATCCCCGTCTGGGTGTCAAACAGCGAAATATTAACATCAAAAAAAGCCGGATTTCAATCCTCACGAGAGAGAATAGGACGAATAGAACTAATTGGTGCAGTGTTTTTCCCATTTCAGACCACGTGTCTCTCCCTAGAGTATCATTCCTTTATTTAACGGTTGTGTATGAGAAGACACATAAATACATTTGGATACAATTCAAATAAAGAATCTTAGAGCGCATTCCAATAGGTAGAACCGATCGGTTAAAGCGGCCAGTTCTTAGAACTGGACCAACGCGGCCCAAACTCTTCTAAATTCTTAGAAAACGTGCTGAAATGCACGCATGCGTAAACGCTTTTCTCTAGTGTCGCCCGAACAAGTCCTAAGAAATGACGCGTAATATTTCAGAACTGGCCGCTTGGACTGATCGGTTAAATGTAGAATAAGAGCCCTTATTCTACAAGCATTTTCATTGGCTGAGAAATGACCTCGCGTGCTGTGATTGGTTAAAAAAGATATCATCAATTACGCATTGTGACCGTGCATGCCGTGTGTCTTGCCGTTTTTACACTTATACGAAATATATTCTCTGGATCTGACGCATGCAATAGTTTGTACATTTTGTCATTAGTGTCATAACGGAGTATAGAATCACTGCCATGTTGGTGTACCGTTAACCAAAGATTTCTCGTTAGCTTCTCTTGTTATGTACACCAACATGGCTGCCATGCCTCTATTCTTGGTTAGCATGTGAAATCATCACCGTCATGTTGGTGTACCGTTAAACAACGATTTCTCGTTAGCTTCTCTTGTTATGTACACCAACATGACTGCCATGCCTCTATTCTTGGTTAGCAGGTGAAATCATCACTGCCATATTGGTTTACCGTTAACCAAAGATTTCTCGTTAGCTTCTCTTGTTATGTACACCAACATGGCTGCCATGCCTCTATTCTTGGTTAACATGTGACATCATCACCGCCATGTTGGTGTACCGTTGACTAAAGATTTCTCGTTAGCTTCTCTTGTTATGTACACCAACATGGCTGCCATGCCTCTATTCTTGGTTAGCATGTGAAATCATCACTGCCATATTGGTTTACCGTTAACCAAAGATTTCTCGTTAGCTTCTCCTCAGCACCATTAAGGCATGGCTCTTTTGAGTAAGTGATGGAAAATCAGTTATTTATTCATATCTTTGACAGTTTACTATGAATTTTTCCCAAATTTGGCTCGTAGTAGTAATTCTTCAAGGCAAGCAATTATCGCATATGTGTTACCATGGAAACCAGGTCACGTGACCACAAGGCCGCCATCTTGGACTTTTTAAACAAATCGTTTGTAGTCGTATTGAAACTACTTCAAAAGTCCTGAAAATCCATATTCCTTTT